CAGGAATGACATTCCTGGGGCGTTACACGATCTGTGCTGGTTTAAGATGTGTCGTTTAACACAGAGCCTTTGTGTGCTCCTAATAGAACTTTTAATTGAACTTACAAGAATAACTGACTTGAACTTCTTGCCTAAAGAACAATCTTGTCTTCTAACAAGTGGGTTGGTGGGCTGTGGAAAACACCTCGGGGCCCTTGTGTTTCCCTCAGTGACAGTTGAGCCATTAAGGGAGGGTCAGCGAAGGAACCATGTAGCTCTGTAATTCATTAGTACAAGCAGCAGATGGGTGACAGACTCAAAGCCCCTGATTACTGCTCTTTTTCTTCAGTTGTGTTCAGCTGTCATCATCAGGCCTGGGTTTTCCAGCTCTGGAGATGGTGTTTGTATCTTCTGTGTCTGTAAAAGGGACTTTCTGCAATCTTTATGCAATTCTTTGGCTCCCTGCAGAAAGTGAGCAATTTTAGCAAGCCTCCAGTGTCTCATCATCCTGGCTGGCAGGTCCTGTGTGTTGGACTTGCTGGCAGTCACCAGTGCCCAATTCTCAGTGGTGAACAAGGTCAGGTCTTTTGCTGTAAATGGTTTTACTGCTAGAGATTGGGGACCGAAAGCAATAGTGTGCAGCTGCCTGGTCCTGACAGGGGTCCTGTGCCAGAAGAAAACTTGTCCCTGAATGAAGGGAAACGCTTTGATGAAGACAGATGGAAGGCTAAAAGGAGAGTCAGGGCAGTTTTTAACCCAAAGTTGGGGATTTGGTGCCAAAGTCCTCCTTTTAAGTTCTCATGTTGGGAAGCCATGAGGAGACAGGTGATTGCCCTGGCGGTGAGCAACACCCAAACCCACCTTCACCTCCAGCTCTGAGCCACTTGTTGCCCCCCAGCAATGGAAGAGGCTTTTTCCATCAACCACACAAAAAGCTTTATATTCCCTACCAACAAGCTCTTTGGGCTCTGCCATCCACTGCTCTGTGTTTGTTTCCCAAATGGCAGAAGCAAAAGCCAGTTTTAAGGACAGGGAGAGGTTTAGGAAAAGTGCTCATTCCCAGGGATGGGATTTGCTGCAGTGAGGCGAGCTGACCTGACCTGGCCCAGCAGCCATCTCTGATCCCACTCCTGCAATGTAGCATAAGCCTGAGAACTGCCTTCCTGAAACCATCACCGCCTGGGGGACTGGGTGGTGGGGAGGGTGAGAATTTAACAGTCAGAAAATGTTTGAGGTCCTGGGAAGCTCAGTTCTGGGCAGAGAATCTGCTGCAAAAATCCTTCTGAGTGATGGCCCAGCAGCATTTCTGAAGAAATGTTTATATCCCAAAGGATTTGGCTTTCCTTCTTTTTGTATTTGCAAAGTTTTAAATTTGGCAACTGGCCCTTTTTTTTTTTTTTTTCCCCTTTTTACAGAAACAGCTGTTGCTTTTGCTCTTCATAAACCTTACAGGGCAGCTCATACACAGTGACTGGTCTCCCCTCAGCCCCCAGCTTTCTTTAGCCGAACAAAAATAATCAGTACAATGTAATTCTGGAACTTAGCATTTCCAGTGTCTTTAAAATGGCTTCACAGCTCCTTTCAGCGCAGAGCAGAACACAGACTTGGTCTGCAGCCCATCTTTGCTGTGAGGAATGTGGTGCCATCACTCACTCTTCCTGGGAGGGTGAATCTCCCATTTTGCTGCTGCTGGAGGGGGACTTGGTTGGTCACATCCTCTTCTCTCCTTGGCTTTAAGAAAATCCCATTAGTGGCCAGAGCCTAAAGCTGCAACTATGTGGCAGGAAGGATGTAGGACAAAACATGTTGTTATCACATCTTCTCAGCTGTAGCACTAAGATGTCTCTGGAGAGACTAGGTAAGGCATCACACTTTGACTGAGGGGTCATGTGTCTTTCCAGGGTTTTGCATTGTAACTAAGCTGGTTGTAGCAGTGATCCATGCACAGGAAGCAGCCTAATGGGACAGGGTGTTCTCTGCCAGTCTAGCTAGATGAGAAAGACATGATGGTCCTAAATTCCTCAGGCATCACTTCCAAGGAAGTGGCTGGGCTCTGGCATGAAGAGCAGAGGATGACACACTAAGAGCCACCTCAGAGAGGGTCCCAGGAGAAGAGATGGTGTGAGATGTGCAACCACCTCCACAGCTGGGAGTGTGGCTGTGGAGTTGGGATCTGGTGAGAAGCGTCTTACTTTTCCATGTTAAGTTATTAATGCACTCATAGAAATTACTACCATACAATCTCAAATTTTCTTTTTGAAGTTGTTTTTCACTGCAAATCATCTCAGAACCATGGTTTTCCCTTGCACCAGGCTTGTTACATGCACTGCTCATAATCTAGGGGCTCCGAGGAGCACTGTCCCATGCCTGTGTAGTTCTCCCCTCCTTCCCCAACTTTCTAATATGCTTCCTGGGCCTTCTGCAGGGATAACAGTTTCTCATAATGCTCTTGTGTCCTTCCCTTCTATTGTTATAATTGAAAAGCTCCAGTTTCAGAAAACCAAGGACA